ATGGAAAAGTGAAAGAAGAAAAGCGAATTAAATTGGACTGGGGTGGACTCCTCACTCTGCCTTTCATTAGTTGCATGACTAAGCAGACTTTTTAGTATTTTTGAGCTTCAGTATTATTATGTACAAAATAGGATAAAAAATACTCACCTGGCTTTGCTGTTTCATTAAGTTGAAGTAACTGAAAGAATGTAAACAGTGCTGTATATAGTAGATACTCAGTAAAGATTAGTGTCTCTTCCAAGGCAAAGACTGACATATTTGGAGTAAGACTGAAGATGATATGGTTTGGGTTGGGAGGAAAGAGAAAAGTGGAAAAGAACTGAAAAAATTTTGCAGTTCTTACTGATAACCATTTTATTAATCTCTGTAGTGCCGAAGACCAGTACAATGCCTGAGAACATAAAAGTTTGTTGAATTATTAGCATATGCTTACCCAAATATAATAAAACCCAATTCTGCCATAGATATATAATTTATACTTTAGAAAGACTATACTGGTAGCAGACTAGAGAGTAAATTTGAGAGGAATAAGACTTAACCAGGGAGTCTAGTTAAGAGGCTAATCCCATATGTGTAGACAAAAATAGAGATCCCTGGCATGAAGAGATGGAAATGCAGAGATAGCTAGGAGGGAAAATCTGGAGGACTTAAATATAGAGATGAGAGAAAAGGAGGAGTTATGATGACTTCTATTCAGGTTTCTTCTAACTTGGATGATAGAGTGGTTGGTGGTTATTGAGGTGGAAGAACATGTTGAGTTAGCTGTGCCTATGAACTTAAAGGAAATCCATCTGGTAAGCAGGTGGATCTAGGTATGAAGCTCAAGACAGATTTGGGATTCATCAGCATAAGGAATCAGAAGGACAGAAAGACACAAGTAAGCCATAAGGACACTATACTTAAGGAATGAACATAGAAAGACAAGCTATAAGAACCAAAAAGGAATAAACTATAAATGTAACATTAAGATGTGGAAATGGTATAGTGCTATAGAGGTATATAAAATTGTGGTAGAGATAACTAGATTTTGGGGGGCATTTTATTTGAGACATATCATTTGTAATTCAGATGAAGACAACTCAACATTGACACACTTCTGTGTAATAGTCTTCATAATGTGTTTTGAGTTAGTCTCTTTATTTTCAATTCTACTTCCAAATTTAAGTTTAAACTCTGGCTTTCCAAAATACTTTGGTTGCTAGGCTGTAATTTCTAGTACATAGAATTTCAAGGGCAAGATCTATGTCTATCCCAACTCTGTATCTTCAATAGCCTTTGGCTTACAATTCATAGTAGATGCACAATTGAATTTACTACATCCTTGTTGCTTCCTTATTCATGGACCAGCAGTTGGTATACTTGGGAGCTTTTAGAAATGTAAGATCTTGGCTCATCCAGATTTGTTGATGTAGAATTATTTAAATATGAGATCTCAAAATTATATTGTTTTCTTTATTTTTTTTTAAATTTATTTATACAAGAACCAGGGTACAGGCCAGATGTGTGGGAGGGTGAGAGGATTCACTAGAGACAGAGCTGGGAACAGAAGAGGCAGACTGAGTGAAATACACTGCTGAAGGGAGCAGCGGGCGAGACAGGAGAGGTCTGCTGCACCATGTGGGTATCACGCCAGCCAGCTGAGATAGAACCTGCACTGCAGAGGCTGTGGACAGCTTCACAGCGCTGTGCTCAACTGCCTGCACTACCAGGGGAGGCCCTGTTTTCTTTATTCTTAGTCCATCTCTAACATCAGCCTATGTAAAAACACCTTGGTCAAATTACCTTTCTTAAATAAAAGCTTATTATGTCAATTTTGTTTAAAAAATGACTTCAAATTTAACTGAATTGGATAGTTCTACCAGGGTTGCAAAGCCTTTCAAAAGGCTTCTAGATTTCTACCAAATTTACTTGCATTATCTTTCTACCTGAATGTTCTGTTTTAGTTGGGCTGGCTAAAAGCTGTTCATTTATACTTTTCAATTTTTGTATTTCCTTCTCCATTTTTGCTCATTCCATGTTTCCTTCTTGATTAAGATATTCTCTTTTTCTAATTATACAAACCTTATTCATCCTTCATGTCCTAGCTTAAATTGCACCTTTATAAAACTCTCTCTGACTCCAGCCTATAGTGATACTTCATAATTATATTTATTATCCTGTCTTCATTTCGATAGCAGAGAATTGTCACTTGTTAACTTAAAAAAATAAGATTCCATTTTTATCTTTACCACTAACTTTCATAATGCTGGGAAGTACAGTTAACATCTCTGGATTTAAAAATTTTTCTTTGTAAAGAAAAATACTTAGGAAATTCAACAGTTTTGTGTTCCATACAATGTGAAAAAAGCATGTCTTAGGGAATGTATTTGATATACACATAATATTTATAAAAGAGTTCCTTTAAAATATAGTTGCTCATTCTCAGGTATTTGAAGCATCCCTCTGGTAATCATAATTGTACCCTCTTTTAAAATAAAATACACAATAAACAAAGACAACATTCAGCCTAGTTCAATCCAAATGTTTTACTCTTCAACTTTCACATTTATTGTTAAAATTATGGTAGGTGGCAGCAATAAGAGCCGAAAAATATAATCATACCCAATTTAAAAACTAGACTCAAGCCTTTTTAGCACACAAGAATAGATCTCTTTGTTTCTTACTCTTATCTGTCTTGGCTGAGCAGGGATTCTGTGCTCACTGACATTTTTGAGTTATTTCTCTCCCTGCTTTAAACATAGGGTAGTTTCTTCCATGACCCTCCTTGTTTTACTGGAAAGTTTCACATAGAGACCTTTGTATAAAAGACTTTTGCTTTCGTCTGTAAATGATAATGGAAAAATGAAGAAGGAGGCAAACTTCACAGAATATCAACAGGCTGCAGATTAAAAGTACCTTGTTTCTTTTGCTAAACTCAGCACAGCTTTCTGTCAGAATAGTTATAAATTCATTCCTCCCACATTCCACCTCTGCATTTTAAACCATTTACTTTGGGTCTCTTTTCCACATAGCACTCTAAGACTGATAAAGTCTATATTTGCTAGAATTATATCTCAAAAAAATTGTTCTTGGTTTTTGATGGGAGAAAAGAATATATATTAGAAATGCATACATTCTCTGAATTGCCTATATTTTGTTGATAGTTTTTTTTTGTCATTCTTTATATGCCGTTTTCAAGGTAAATTTTTGGAGTTATATGCAATATTAACATTAATTATTAGCAGATGTCTATCATAAATTATCAGTGCAGTCCCCAGAAAATTAAATATTTATACATCAACATATGTACCTTTATAGTAAAGTTTACTGTATAGTAAAGTAATGGCAGTTTACTGTATAGTAAAGTAATAGAGGATATTAAGTAATTTTTTTGGTATATAAAAGTACAACTATAAAAGGTCAAAAGACACACAATTATAGTCTAGAACATCTTAGAGAAGACATAGTTAAAAAAAAGAACTCCTTTCATCTTATATTAGAGTCTCATTAACGCACTTGGAGGCAGTGTCAGAGACAATGGCGGGAAATAAATCAAACAATTTGGTGAGTTGTTCCCTAGTGTTTTAGGTCTGCTCTGTGCTTTTGGAACTCTTGGATTTGTCCTATCTTTTCTCAAAAGTTAATTTTTATCTTCTTTAAAGGTGTATCTATATCAGGATAATTTTTGCTGCTTGAAGTTTACATGAAAGTATATATTACTGGTCAGGTCTAAATTAAATAACCACTTCCCTCTCCCTTTACTTTTCAGAGGGTTTCTTTCTAGGCTAGGGACCTGGATCAGGGTGATCATACTAGGTAAGCCATGAGATTGACTTCACAAGCATGAGTTTTAAGCTAGATGGCTACTTGGCCATAGACTTCTCTAGAACTAGACATCTTGGTAAATACAAATAGTGAAGATTCTAAAGAAAGTTGTTTGAAATATGTCTAACAGTCTCTATTCCAATGTCCTCTGAGAAAGAAAAAAAATCTGGAGAAAAGAATTTTAAAAGGTGAAATGACATAAAAGCTACCACTTTTTAGGGCACTATCAAGATGCTATGCCTAAGGTTTGCATTGTGTTGTGTCCAGTTTGAGTCAAAGATGGGGTATATGGTGTCAGAGGATATACAGTGAAATGGTAGGGCAGAGTCTCTTCAAAAGCACAGTTGAGTCCTGTGTGGAAAGCACTCATCTTAAGGGAAGAAGTAACCAGGCATAAAGAGCTTTAGACTCGGTGACAAGATGGTGATGAGCTAGAAAGGGGTGAATATGGGTGATAAAGACATCATGGTATCCAACACACGTTTGTCTCCTAGCTTTGTATTCACCAGTCTCATGTTTTGGCACTACAAAAAGTAGGCACATTCTTGGTCATCTGGAAATAGAGCCTGGTGAAATATGGCTGAGGAGTCTTGATGGTTAGTAGGATGCTCAGAAAGAGCAGACTTGCTTCTGAGCCCATGTGATACACATAGAGATTTGCATAAATACTTGGGGGAATTCAGCAGAGGACTGAGTTAATTTACTAAATGTGGTAATAGGCTCTTAGAGAGGGGCAATTACATCAGTATGCTTTTCTTTGAAGTATTTACAAGTGGGTGAAGCCTGAAGAAACTTGGGATATATTAGTGATTTAAAAAATCAACATAAAAATCCAGTTAGTGCTAATTTTCTATTTTACTCTCCTCATGCATTTTCTTTTTCTTGAAACAAATAAAAGTTTGGACAGGAAAAACACCATCACTATTAGTTCCACTAGGATAAAGCCAACACTACCAAATAAGCTCTCCGTAAACCTAATATACCTGGAAGAGAGCAAAATACTTCTCCTGTTGTAATAAGCATTTCAGGAAAATGTCTAGTCCTTACGGACATAGATACCTGAATAATTCTTTGACTTCCGAAGAATGAAATGAGCAAAAATTATGGTGTTAAATTACTCTTTAGTAAAAATCACACTTAGCTCTCAAAATTCATATTTGTACAAGAATAGCTTCAAAATAAAATCCAATACTTACTTGTCTCCCACAATTCCCAGGTTGATTGTGGGGTAACCATGTTCCTGAATTGTTGCTAAGAGGGTTGAACGATTACTGTCTCGAATTTTTCCTGGTAAGAGGTCATCTTCAGGATTTAGCAGCTATAAAGTTAAAAACAAACAAAAAAACAAACCCACAAATTATTCTTTAAGATAATGTTGCCTATTTTTATTACAAAAAAGGATAGCTAACAAAGTTCAGCATATCTAGCATCTATCTGCTAAGTAGGAGATATATACCCAAAGGGTCTTAAAATAAACACTGCAAGTATAGTAGGATGTTCCTCCAGAATTTAAAAAAGAAATGCAGAAATTGAACTGGTGACAAATAATAGGTTTAAATATCACACTAGCTTTGACAGTTGCCCTGGAGACACTGGCCTTCCTGGTGGTTGCTTACTCGGGCAAGTGAAATAAAATAATTCTTTTTTTCCCTCCTTGTATTATTATTATTATTATTATTTAAAAAAAAATTTTTTTTTTATTTATACAAGCACTGGGTACAGTCAGAAGTGCGGGAGGGTGAGAGAATTCACCAGAGCTAAAGCGGGGAGCAGAGCAGGCAGAAGGACCGAGTACACTGCTGAGGGGAGCAGCGAGCGGCAGAAGAGGTCTGTCTGCACGCCATGTGGGACCCTCCTCCGGTGGTAGGGGAGCAGTTGGGGATCGAACCGGCGCCTCAGAGGCCGCGGGCAGCTTTGCAACCCAGTGCTCAACCGCTTTGCCACCGGGGAGGCCCCCTTGTATTATTTTCTAATTTGTCATTCACAGAGAACATTGAGGCAGAGACTGTGTAACATATTTTTCAGTTCTGAAAAGAAAAAAAAAATACATTTTTTTATTTTTAAAAATTGTAATTTTTTTTTTTTTAGTGAGGTAACATTGGTTCACAGCACTGTTTAGTTTTATCTTTTTTCAAGTTTTTTTGATCCCTTTTCTGAAGTGGGATGGATAGTACAGAAGTTAAGCTTATCAAGAGAGGAAGGAAGGGCCTCCCCAGTGGCGCAGCGGTTGAGCGCTGGGTTGCGAGGCTGCCCGCGGCCTCTGCAGCGCTGGTTCGATCCCCGGCTGCTCCCTGGCCACCGGAGGCGAGTCCCACATGGCGCGCAGATCTCTCCTGCCGCCCGCTGCTCCCCTCAGCAGTGTACTTCGGTCCTTCTGCCTGCTCTGCTTCCCGCTCTGGCTCTGGTGAATTCTCTCACCCTCCCGCGCTTCTGACTGTACCCAGTGCTTGTATAAATAAATAAATAAATCTTTAAAAAAAAAAAGTGATTAAAAAAAAAAAAGAGAAAGGAAGGAAAATGCCTTTTTGTTAATTAACTTAAACAAGTAATCACACATATTCACAATTTCATGACTCTGAATTGAATCACCTTTTGGAGATTTAATATCTATATGTCTATGAAGAAAATAAGCTTATTCTATGTTCCAGTGAGAGAGTGGTATATAGTGGGAAGATCCTGGGATTCAGACAAGGTTCAATATCAAGTTGTCCAACAAGTTATACCTTCTTTTTTCATTTGCAGTATGTACTAGGATTAAATAAGATAATGGAACACCCTGCTACTATAGATATACAATAAATATCACTCTCTAGAACATCTGTTTTTCCCCCTTATTGTTCTCTTATTGTTACTCCTAGATGTAAGTACAGATGCAATTAGTTTATAATGTGAATGCAGATTTATATTTATTAGATTATAAAATATGTAAGAGTAGGGTGTCCTAAACACACACAGATATGCACAATGTATAATTTTAACTTACACATCAATTTAAGATGTACTTTGATCTCAGAAATATTATATGAAGAAAAATACATCTTTGAAATGAGAAAATCTGGAATATTATTTTAGGGGACTGAAAGCAAACTTGTACATTTCAGACACTTAAGGTGTTAATATGGCCAATAGCTCGGGATTCATCTTAGTTCTCCCAAACAATAAACTGAGTCCCTTCACCCTTTCTTCTGATTCATTAGTAACACTGTATAGCTAGACCTCTGGCATTATGTTGGAAAGTCATGGCATTGCAACTAAGTGTCCCCTTACAATAGGCTAGATAAAAAACTGATTGCTTTATTTAGTATCACTTGGGGCACTTTCCTTCAAATACTGCACTAATTTAACTTAATCAGGTACCATATGACATTGCAACTTACTTTTATCCTTAGTTATTACCAGGGTTTGGAAAATTTCATTGTAGTGCTAATATAAATTTTCTGATCTTAATTACTATATGGTTATAGAAGAGTTATAATTTTATAAGGGCCAAGACATGTAGTTGCTTAACTCCATTTATCAGACAAGTTGCTTCAGAATGAAAACTGGGTGGTTCTATAAATTTTTTTTCCCATAAAAGGATACTATCTACCAACTAAGACTTCCATTATTAGGGAATGTCTTTGCTATTCATATTCCTCTCTGTTATTTTGCTGCAAACTGTTCCAGAAATAATAGAACAATTAGAGATCATTGGAGAACCAGTTATTTGTCTGTAAAATTGACGTAATGAAATAATTGCTAGTTAAATGAGGGTGTGAGATTTACTGTGCATTTTAAGTCTTTTTAAAGAAAACATAAAGAATTAAGTGGAGGATTATAAGGCTGCATATCCTAGAATAAATTCACAATATTCACTTTAAAATTGAATCTCATTTTCTGGTCCTCACTGAATGATGACTAAAACTGCAACAGGGTGGTCCCCAGGAAAGGGGGAGGTTCCCTGCCCCACCCAAGGGAGGGTGGAGCTGAGCAGCAAGAGAAGAAGCTGGAGAAGAGACTGAGGAAGGAAGCAGCAGGGAGCCAGGAGACCTGGAGGAGGTGCATGGAGCCTAGAGACACGTGAAGAAACTGCGCTTGTCTTTTGGTCGTGGACTGGGTGACAAAGATGTGGGTGAGACCCGTGGGGAGGTGACAATGGCAGTTTTTATCTTGATGTTGATTTTGCTCTTTTTCTTCCGGGCTTGTCCAGTTGTTTGTGACCCTTTTCTGTGGGTCCCCACTGGAAGATGCTTTAGACTTGTAGCAGGCTTTGGGGCCTTGTTCTGGGCCAATCCCATGTGGATGGACTTTTACCCACGAGGGGACGGGTAACTTTGGGTGCTTCATTTAGAAACTAGACTCTTTGCCTTACCTGTATTGTTTTTTAGTTTTATTAAAGTTCCTTTCCATTAAAGTCTTCTATGTTTTGTGTTGATGCGGCGGATGGCAGAACCCATTTAGAATAGGCAGGTTTGCGTGGCTTGGGCTGACCCTCTCCCTGTCCTATAACAGATTTGGCGTCCAACGTGATTTAGGACAGAGCCATCCGTAATCTGTTATAGGACAGGGAGAGGGTCAGCCCAAGCCACGCAAACCTGCCTATTCTAAATGGGTTCTGCCATCCGCCGCATCAACACAAAACATAGGAGACTTTAATGGGAAGGAACTTTAATAAAACTAGGAAACAATACAGGTAAGGCAAAGAGTCTAGTTTCTAAATGAAGCACCCAAAGTTACCCGTCCCCTCGTGGGTAAAAGTCCATCCACATGGGATTGGCCCAGAACAAGGCCCCAAAGCCTGCTACAAGTCTAAAGCATCTTCCAGTGGGGACCCACAGAAAAGGGTCACAAACAACTGGACAAGCCCGGAAGGAAAAGAGCAAAATCAACATCAAGATAAAAGCTGCCATTGTCACCTCCCCACGGGTCTCACCCACATCTTTGTCACCCAGTCCACGACCAAAAGACAAGCGCAGTTTCTTCACGTGTCTCTAGGCTCCATGCACCTCCTCCAGGTCTCCTGGCTCCCTGCTGCTTCCTTCCTCAGTCTCTTCTCCAGCTTCTTCTCTTGCTGCTCAGCTCCACCCTCCCTTGGGTGGGGCAGGGAACCTCCCCCTTTCCTGGGGACCACCCTGTTGCAAAACTTATTACAGTTAAAATACAAAAGAAAAAAATCATAAAGTAAAATAAAACATAACTCATCCTCTCCATCCCTTGTTACTTTCCTATCTGCCAAATGTTAAATTTCAATTTCCTGTTTCTGTTATTGTCAATGATTACACCATCTTCCTAGCTTTCAAACACTGACCTTTTCTTCTTTGTAGTCTACTATCTTCCTAAAGGTCTCAATTAAGAACATCCCAATCCACCTCCTCTTTAATCCTCTTACCAAATCTCCTTTTGCTCCCTTCCCACCCATCATTTTCAGGCATTCACTATGAGTGAATTTCTGCAAAAGTGTTACAATTGGTTATCTTGCCCATAAACTCTTCCCTTCTGAGAAATAAAACAGAAACAGCAACTTGTAAAATGGGTTTATTACTTGTATAATATAGAACCAAAACAAGACATGTAAAATTCAAACTTTGTTTTAACCCAAGCTTTTTGAGACCTATATGCACCAAGGTAAGACCATGGATAAACTGAAAGCATGGTAACTCCACATGAATTCATATGCTCCAAAGATAAGACTGTTTCAGCAACTCACCTGTTTTACAAAATCTGACCAGTCTCCGAGTAGACCTTATTTACTAGTTTTAAAATCACCCCATGACTAACCCTAGTCCCCATGAGTCTATATGTGTATACTTAAACTTTCTTGCTCTCTCTTGTTCAGAAACTTTAATACATACTGTAATGTACGATAAACATGTTTGCCTGGTGGCCTTTACTTCGATATTCATGTAGGTCCCACAAAGATTTGAGCAAGACCCCTTGCCACCACTAATCTCATATTAGTTACACTGCACTTCACGGAGTTCTCTTGAGCCTCACTGCTCAGGGGGTGTGGGGCAGTTCTTTGTCTGTGATGATAATGACACAGTGATAAAAGGACATGTCTCTCTTCCTGCCCACCAGATAAGCATTCCTATTTTCTTTATTTACCCTCCTTGTTTAACAATCTTGCCTAGTTTAACAACCTTGTCTTCTTGAAAGAACATTCCTAAGAAGATAATATGGAAAACACCAGGTGTTAACAAAGCAAGCTGGCGCCTACAGGAATCTCCCCAGCGATCTCCAGATGCTTGCATCAATAGGGCTTGCTGAGCAGTGCCCATCTCCCGTTTTTTTTACTCCTTTGTATAAATACTCCTACACTCTGCCGAAGACCAAGATGGT